TAGCATAGTCTTTCTGCTTTTGAGAAAAAATGCAACTTGGACATTGACTATTCCTGACCTTCTTTCTCTTACTCTTGAAATGTTAATTATGTGTGAAAGTTGGAGTTCATGGCCAAGCTGGACACAAAAGAAACAAGAAAGTTTACTTCTCTTTGAGTGTAATTCTCTCTCTTCATTTAAAGTTCCACAGCTCCCGTTTTATGTCTGCGATTCCTTATTATTTCTGCCTTCTTACCTTTTCTTTCTATATGCTTAAGTGCTATCTGATTACACAAGGGTGCCCAAGATACACGGGGGTACGTCATTAGTTTTATAAAGGAAGTCAAAGCCCGCCGGTGGCTCAGTCAGTTAAGCATGTGAATCTGCATTTCAGCTCAGGTCATGATCTCATGGTCCGTGAGATTGAGTCCTACATCGGGCTCTGCACTGACAGGACAGAGCCTGCTTTCGATTCCTTCTCCTCTCTCTCTCTGCGCCCCGCCCCCTACTCGTGCACACACGCCCTGTCTCTCTCTCTCTCAAAATAAATAGTTTTTTTTTTAAAATAAAGAAAGGCAAAGTGAAAAATGAATCCAATGTAACACATTTTTCTTTAAGAATACATGCCTTTCAGGGGCGCCTGAGTGGCTCAGTCGGTTAAGCATCTGACTTCGGCTTGGGCCATGATCTCACAGTTTATGAGTTCAAGCCCCGTGTCAGTCTCCGTGCTGACAGCTCGGAGCCTGGAGCCTGTTTTGGATTCTGTGTCTCCCTCTCTCTCTGCCCCTCACCTGCTCACACTCTGTCTCTGTCTCTCTCTGTCTCTCTCTCAAAAGTAAATAAACGTTAAAAAGAATCCATGCCTTTCAGAGTAAAGTTTTGTTAAGAATTTCCAACTAGGCTTCAACGCAATCATACTTGAAATATCTGTGTCTAGAGAAATCACAACCACTTAAGCAGCCCCTATAATTCTTAGTACGCTGATACTGAAGACTTCCTTAAAGAAGAGCATTACATCCCAACACACCTAAAGGTTCTGCATTTTACCGAAACCTTCCAAATGGTGGAAGTTATCTGCTTATTAAAGACCAACATGTGCCTTGTTTAAAGCTAGTAGCCCCTAAGCTCTTGTCTTCACTAATAAAGATGAATAGAAAATGGTTGAAGCTTAAGCATGCCCCTTCAAACCTCCACTTTTATTTTCTGTTGAGTAGGTAGAGGTAAATAGAGTATATTTGCTAATTGGCAGGAAATCTTTTGGCTCGGGGATCCAAGCATTTGGTGAAAACCACTAAGGTTAAAGATTTCTTCACATTAGGAGAGTTTGCAATTTCTACTTCCCGTGTCTAAACACAATAGCTCCAGCTACAAGCTTCAGCTGCCTTTGAGCCTTTGCATCTCAGTTTGCACATTTGCAAAACAAGAGGCTTGACGAGAATTTCTCAGGTTCCTTCCAGCCCTAACAGCCTAGGATAAAACCTGGAAGGGGGAAAAAGAAAGAGTCATTACAAATAGAAAGAAACAGTTTCCGAAGAGACATTCCCAATACAAACATAGGTTAATCACTTAGAACTATTTGGTGTGCAATCTCGAAAATCAAAACGGCAGCTGCTTTCAGCGACTGCGCTAGAAATGTGTCTCGAAAACCCTTCACAAGCTTAGCATGGCCACAGAAAATGTTTGGTGAGCTCTTGGTGTGTCATTGCATTTAGATCGCCTTCAAAATCATGTCACTGACAAATGCCACCTTTGCCCTGTGGAGACCAAGAAGTAACGTTTAGGACATGCAGGAACTACTTTAAGAAACTCTTTCTAAAATGGGGTGCCCGGCTGGCTCAGTCGGTTGAGCGTCCGACTTCGGCTCAGGTCATGATCTCACGGTCCGTGAGTTCGAGCCCCACGTCGGGCTCTGTGCCGACAGCTCAGAGCCTGGAGCCTGCTTCGGATTCTGTCTCTCCCCTCTCTCTCTGCCCCTCCCCCGCTCATGCTCTGTCTCTCTCTGTCTCAAAAATAAATAAAACATTTAAAAAAAAGTTCTTTCTTAAAGAATGGCCCTGGAGTGCACCTGCTAAGTTGTGAAGGCTCTCGTTAAAAGTACAGAAAGTCTGGAGGTGGAACCTGGGAGTCTATACCCGAAACAAGCTACTCACGTGGTTTTTATGCACCCTGAAGTTTGAGAACCATGGCTTTAATTGGATACCTTCGTAAGCGTGGTTTTCATTCAGGAGCCATAATCTGACTACGTTTCTCCTCTCCCTCCTTTACCCAGCATCCCTTGTCCTTTATGAAACTTTTGGTTACGTTTGTGTCACCGCTCTCCAGCCCCAGCAAGGGAAAGAAACAGTCATTTGATACGGAGTGAAGGTGATCAGACGTTCCCAAGTGTTAGACCTGACTCCGCACTCTAGATACACAGCAGCCTTTTCTCCCCCCCATCGCAGGTCCTTTTTCCCCTCCTCCATTAACTGCCTTGACTGTCCTGCGTCCGGGCTCTTAACCATCTCCCCATCTCATGCCCTGAAGCTCCTCTTAGATCCTTTAGAAGTAAATTCCCTGGGTCCCAGAGCAGTTTTTTCCCCTGGGGACACAAAGGGTTTCATTGACCTGTTAATGACTAGTCAGCACCATTGTACCTAGACCCTGGTTGTAGCCCCGCCTTATGTAAATGAAGCAGCCCCTGGGGGCCTCTGGCAGTGCCGTGGCTTGGCTCTTCAGCGACTTTATCTTCCTCCAGACCTCTCCACCAGGGGGATATTTTGTTTCCTCTACCAGACAGAGGGAGCAGGCATTAGGCCTGTCTACATTCTTCCTCACCTTCCCCTCTTCCTACTCCCAAGGCCTTATTGGGACTCCCAAGGTCCCAAGACCTAGCGACACTCAGTACTGCTTTATTTCATCAGAGCCTCTTCTTTTCCATGCCGCGCATCCACGTCTGGACTGTATCTCCCTCCACCTACTTCCCCACACGTCCTGTTTGACCGCTTCCTCCCCCTTCAAGGGGACCAGGCTGCAAATTCCAGACACCCCAGGGTGTCCCTGTAAGCAGTGATCATCGGGTGCCATTAAACAGCGAAAATCTTGCATAGGGAATTCTCGCTTGGGCTTCTCATGGAAAAGCAATCATTGAAAGGGAAAGGGAAGAGAAATGGAAAAGGACTTACCTCTACCCCTATATGCAGTCTGAACTATTATATTTAATTCATGGCATTTATGGTATTTGGTGATTTGTTTATTAGATAATAATGCCCTTAGAGTCTTGAACCACTTAATTTCTCTGATGGAAAGGCCTTCCTGTTTTTCCAGACACAATGTTTACATTGCTCATAATAGAAAGACGGTTCTGACCATTTGGAGAAGTAGAAAGCTGAGGGAATAAACCACCTCTAAATCTACCTCTGGGAGATAAACGGGGTTGGCATTCCAGAATTTTTTCATGCCGGAGTCAAGTGTGTGTACAAAAATAGACAAACATACACAAACGTTTTAGAAAAATCGATTGTAGACATTTTTGTAACCTACTTTCTCCCTCAGCAACTGACGGGGTGATCTTTTCCATATCCCCTAATATATGCTGATGTCATCGCATTGGACAATGCATAGGATGCATAGGCTTTGGACATTGCATTGTAAGACTTAACCGTTATATATGTAATCTCTTCCCTAGTATGGGATATTTAAGTTGTTCCTACCTCGTGTCAATCCTAAGTGATGCTGCAAATAACACTTTTCTACCTATATCTTTGCATGATTTTCCAGTTACTTCCCTAGTACGCGATTTTTGCATTTTAGCTTGTGGGTCATTGTATCTGCACGTTTTAAAGACTTGTAAGTATCGTCCTTCCTAAAGAAAATGATCCCTCGGCAAGTTTGGAACAATTTAATTTCAGTACATAGCCACTATTTGGTGATTCTGTTTGACTAAGACCAGCAGGAGAATTGTATTTGAAATGTCAGGCTAAGTTATCAAACGGCAAAGGGAAATGTTTTTCTACCTGGTTGCTTTACACTTCAATCTTTGCAGCGTTGGAGACTATATTATGCTTGTGTTATAGACAGCATTAATTTTTATGAATTAATTAGTAATTGCTGATAATATATGAGTAATGCAGCCTAATTCTTGATTTACCTGAGGATAGAGCTTTGTTAACATTCCTCGCTTCTTCTTTGTTTTCTGGATGATGATTTATTTGGTTAATTTAGCTTCTCATCCTCAAGTGAAATGTGGGTTTTATAGCACAGACCATTCATTTGTATATTCTTAAATGGCTTCTATGGCTTAACATGTTCTAAATACAGTTGATGGTTAAGCACTCATTCTCCTGCCTAAATTATTCATGTTCAGGGCAGGCTTTCAGGCAAATGTCTGATTTTACTCTTCCACGTGAGTTGTTGTCTCGGTACATTTTACACAAAGGAAACAAAGCGGAAAATGTTGAAACTTGGTGAAAACAAATCCCAGGTGCACGCGAATAAAGAAGGGTGGAGGAAAAGGAGAAGCATATGGGAAGAGGAGCAGAAAGGAACAGATGCCAGATGGAAGGAGTCAATGGAAGAGGCTGCCTAGGGTGTAGAAATGGAAAAGTCAAAATGTGGGGAGAGACCTTTCCATTTCTCAAAGCCGAAAGAATTCCAGTACGAGCATGAGTCATTTGAAAACCGAGTGGTTTATATTAGTCACTGGGAGCAAAATTTTTTCTACCAGAAACATTAAGAATCATTGACTGCAACGCTGTGGAAAAGCAATCCATTCCGGTGTATATTTCATGCCGAAAGTCTCAGCATTCTGCATGTGGCAATAAATGTACAGCTAAACACTGTCTTCCCTCAAAATTGCCCTCAAAATGCCCCCATTATGGCTCGCAAAAGCACAGAGCTAGATTTTTATTGAGGACTGCTGTATGGTTCACAGTGGGTTTATGTACTATGGAACTAACCAAACCACTGTGCCTTTAATGGGATTATTGAAATCGTTCGTTACCATTCTAGATATGTTGACCTACTTTGTTCCTGCTGTTCTTCAGGTCTCATTTGGAAGCCAGTTCTGACCAGTGGAAACGTCTGCACCTCTCTCTTCAGGAGCTTCTGGTGTGGCTACAGCTGAAAGATGACGAGTTAAGCCGGCAGGCACCGATCGGAGGCGATTTTCCAGCAGTTCAGAAGCAGAATGATGTACACAGGGTAGGACATTTTTAAGACTAGTGCCTTGCACAGAGTGAGCATTCAGGGACTCTCTTAAAATGAGTTTGGGTTGAAACTGAGCTGACTAGAAATTGTTTTCACTCTGCCGATCCAGGAGTCAATTATAAATAATCCAAGCCATTATTATTTTAAATGTCAAAAGCGCCCACAGTAACAATATCCTTTAAGAAATTGCCCATCTCTGTTAGCGATTTTTAAAAACATTGTGTTAGGGAAAATATTAAACATATACAAAGGAGGCAGAATCCTCTAGTAAACAGCCACGAATCCATCAAGACTTCAAACAGTTAACAGCTCATGCCCGATCTTACTTCTTCTAGACCTCTACCGGTTCTCTATTATTTTGAGATAAATATCAAGCGTGGATCGTTTAACTCATAAACAACTGAGAAAGTATCTCAAAAGATAAGTTTCCACTCTTTAAATGGGACCACATTGCTACTATAATGCGTTTTAAATTTTATTCTAATGACTATCGGGCATTATTCAAATTTCCACTCTTAACATATATGTGTCTCAAATGTTTTAACATGTTTTTTGTTTCAATAAGAATTAAAATAAGCTTCACACATTGCCTGTGGCCAATTTGTCTCTGAAACACATTTTTTAAAACTTTTATTTTTGAAATAACTATAGATTGCCAGTGAGTTACAAAAATAGTACAGTTTCCCTCTATGCTTCACCCAGTTCGCTCTAACGGTTGCACCTTGCATAACTACACAACAATAAATACGGCTATGTCAACAGACAACATAAAAATGTACAGTTGCAACACAACTCGATTCACACTAGCTACCTTTCGAGCACACAGTAGCCGGTTGTGCCCGGTGGCTACCACATTGAACAGTAAGTACAGTTCAATGGGTTTGATCGCCTAGTGGCCACCATATTGAATAGTGCAGTTCAATAGGCTTGATCCTATTCAGGCTTGACACTTTTGGGAAGACTGCTTCAGAGATGGTAGTGTACTCCTCCATCATCAGGAGGTATGTAAGGTCTTGTTTTCTCTTTTGTGTGTGTGATTTGGGCAGCTGTCCGTGACCAATGGCTGGGGTTGGAATGTGATAATTACCTATTTCTATCATTTCCTCTTCGTTTATTAGCCAGAATACTCCTGGGCAGGGCGGGGGGGGGTCATTCATCTACTCTTTGGGCACGCAGTATGCAGTTCATATACGAGAGGCAGGATACTTTACCAGCCTTCAGAACAGCAAGTTATTCATTCACTAGCATCCTCCAACAGTGATTGATTGTTTCTCACTGTTTTTGTTTTCTTTTGCTCTTTGTCGTATTTCTGTTTTCTCTATTAGGCTCTGAGTGGGGAAGTCAGAGATTTGGTCTTGCTCACCTCCAAGACCCTAGTAGCTAGCAAAGTGTCTGGCATACACTGGATGCTGAGAAGTGTATTTGAAAGGAGAATAGGGGCGCCTGGGTGGCGCAGCCGGTTAAGCGTCCGACTTCAGCCAGGTCACGATCTCGCGGTCCGGGAGTTCGAGCCCCGCGTCGGGCTCTGGGCTGATGGCTCAGAGCCTGGAGCCTGTTTCCGATTCTGTGTCTCCCTCTCTCTTTGCCCCTCCCCCGTTCATGCTCTGTCTCTGTCCCAAAAATAAATAAACGTTGAAAAAAAAATTTTTTTTTAAAAAGAAAGGAGAATAAAAGGCACAAGAACAGAAATGAATAGCAAACCAAGTAAATGACTACCCGACAACCAAAGCTTGATTAAATGGTGTCACTTCTGTATGTTCAATGCTTAAAGAAAGATCTCTGTGGAGACATAGCCAAAGGTAGCATCTTCAAGAAAAGTCGAGGATTTCTATTATTCCAGAGAAGAGGATATAGACGATTGCTCAAAGGGAAGAAGACATGAGGGGAGATCCAGGAGTCTTTGCCAAAAAAAAATTGCCAAGGAAACTGACAGTTTCTCCTTTAGCAATTCCCCTTCCTAAGATCCAGAACACTAAATTAGCTTTGTGGTAGAGTGAGATATAATAGTGACGTTTTTCAAAATGTTCTGCCTTTGAATAAATAGTCCAAACACGCTGGTGTGTGTGTAGAAGAGCGTTCATTGAGACAGAAGGGAATTTTAAATCGAATGCATTTATATGATATAAAGAAAGGAGACAGAATTTCTACCAAAGGTGTAATTCCAGTCTACTTCTAGAAACCAAAGTTGAGTCATCGGACAAGTGCACTAGCAGTCAGGACAGACTCTAGTCACATTCCTCTGTAAGTTAGATTGAGATTGTTACTTTGTTCTTCAGCTATGAGATGAAGAATGTGATCCAAGTTTCCACAGTGCCTACTAGCCAGCATCTTATTATAAATACTTCCTCAGTGTCCCAGGTTATTGGCTTTAATGACTTGCTAACAGTGGTGAAATGTTAGTACTCATGCTCAGTCCTCTTACGCCGGAATCTCATGACCAGTAACACGCTTTGGGGAGACAGCGATGCTAGAGTTATGGGTAACGTGCACCAGACGGAAGTGAATTAATCCCCACTTGGCTGGTGTGCTTGTTCAGATACCCATCTGTCACCTTTCTTTAACTTCTCAGGACTTCCAGCCCGTTGATAACTCTGTGTTCTATACATGCGTTCCACTACTCCTCTCTCTTCACCTCCTTCCGAATCTAACTTAGGTTCAATCATAAGACATTTTATTTATTTTTTTTTTTAATTTTTTTTTCAATGTTTATTTTTGGGACAGAGAGAGACAGAGCATGAACGGGGGAGGGGCAGAGAGAGAGGGAGACACAGAATCGGAAACAGGCTCCAGGCTCTGAGCCATCAGCCCAGAGCCTGACGCGGGGCTCGAACTCACGGAGCGCGAGATCGTGACCTGGCTGAAGTCGGACGCTTAACCGACTGCACCACCCAGGCGCCCCAAACATAAGACATTTTAATAACTCTTCCCCAAGATGATAAGATCCTGTGCTTTATTATCTTTTTGTGGGTGCCATCTGCAAAACCCCCAAACTTGGAGAATCTAACTAAATACTTTCACCTGTCCAAACAACGACAGAGAAGACCACTGTAGTCACCTTTTCAGGATGACAAACCAAGGGTTCCATTGACCAGCCCAATACATCACTGAGTCAGTTTACCTCCAAAGTATTTCTTGGCTCTGTCTACTGCAGTCATCACCATAGTTACAGAAGACCATATCTCCTAATGTTTCTGCATCTACTCTGGCCACCCGACAATGCAATCTTTACATTTCAGCCAGAGCGATTTATGTAAAAACATACACTGAATTATGTCAGTCCTCATCTTAACACTCTTTAATGGCTTCTCAGTGCCACTGGGGAAGGACCAAAATCCTCAACAAGGCCCCAACCTTCTCTTTTCTTACTGCTCTTTCTCTTGCCCTCTGGACCCTAGCCATGCACCATGTTCTTTTGGTTTCTACAGTACTCCGTGTTACTCTCAGGTGGTGCTTTGAACATGTTGATCCTCTGTCTGAAGCCCCTCCTACCTACCCCCACGCCTTCATAATTTCCTGGTTAACATCTGATAATCCTTTACATCTTGGCTCAGACATCGAGCAAGCTTTTCCATGTTGCCCACATTTGACCAGATCTTCTTCTACATGCTCTCATACACAGTCTACTTTTCCCTCTGCAACTTAACATTCTTTGTCATCACATATATGTGTAATTTTTTGATTAATGTCAATCACTGTCACTAAACCATGTGCCCCAAGAAGCCTTCTTTTGGGGAGAGGGTTGTCATTTTTACACCCAGCACTTTATAAAGTGCCTAGTACAGAGTAGACACAAAATAGGTAAAGAGACAAAGGAATTGAGGAAGAAAGGGAAGAAGGGAAGGAGGAAGGGAAACAAACCAATCAGTGAGCTAATCTTAACCTTATTCATTCTTCTTTAGTTTACTGAGACCAAGGGCAGGGAAAGAAGAATAACGAGTGATGTTCCCTCCTAACTGCAGGATTTTTCTGTTTATTCCCAATTCAGCGTCCATTTGTACTGTGTAGAGCTACTTTGATGCCCACTGTTTTTACTTGTGGTCTGGCCCAATGTTTTCACGAGCTTCTCTTTGTATCCTTAAGAAACATTCTTGTCACAAAACACTCTCCTCCCTCAAAGAACATCATCACTCCTAAGTGTTGATGAGAGAACCATTTAGCACCCTGTTTACTCAGAGTTTTGTCACATTTATGCAGTAGCCCTTTTATAGTAGCAATGGAATGCCTGCCTAGTTAGTAATGCTCCTGGTGCCTGTTGGCAAAAAGAAAAAAGGAAAATCTTTGAAACTGTGTCTCTTTATCAGATCTCCTGAACTTACTTAGCAAGAGAGAAAGGAAATGTAATCAGTACAAAACTGTCAAGATCTAGTCTTTGACGGATTTTGTATTTGTAGACTTGTTTTACTTTGCCACATTTCCGGGATTATAAATCATCTTGCTCTTTATGGGTTTCTTGATTCAAATACTGTTGATATAGACTGTTTAGTATCAAGATGGGTCACTTGCCATCATAAACTTGTTCCCCACGTATTTGGTGTGTCACTGTTTTTCAAATCCCCTGCTTACCATCTATTGTAAATTATTAATGCCTCGGGTTGTCGCTTCTTATGGGAATACAAATCCCATTACAATGTCAGAAGTCGAAACTATAGGAAAATATTTTTCACTTTTCTTTTATATAAATCAGGATGTTTACGGAAGAGGCAATTTACATTTTCTTTGTGTATCGTTGCAGATTAATGATAAAATCTGATAGCACAACATCGTATGTCTTGTACTCTTAAGGCAAAAACCTACAGTCATTCTCAATCACCGTGATGGAGAGTTCATGTTTTTCTTATAGGGAAAATTCCAAGACATTCCACACAAGTAGTTAGGGACTGCAGTCTTACCCCCCCAAAACAATTTTCACCCTCATGGGAGTGGATCTTTGTTCCCCAAACCAGCCGGGCGGCATAACAAACTGTAGCTGGAATGGCTCTCGAACCTGATTAATA